TCTGTTACCATAGTATGCTCCAGAACACATACATTGAATATCCGTAGCATATCTCACAGCCAATCCACGATTGCATATAGAGAAAAAACTCGGTATGTTTATATACTGATTCTGTGGAGTAGAAGATTTGGTATCAAAAAATAATGATTTTTGTGTTTGTGCTGATATATTAATTTGTTCGATTGGAAAAGGCGGCCAACTAATCTGATTCGGAATTGTTCTTTGGTCTATATACTTTGGGCCACGATAATCGACATTTACTTTGTTATATATGCACCAATACTCGTCTTCCCCATACAAACACTCGATTGTTTTGTTACAACGTCCATTTCTTATACATTGACCATCAAAACAAACTGCATCGTCAAAGCCATTACACGCATCGTTTTTTCTGTTATGAAAGCACAACGACGCATCTTCGTTGTTTGGGCAATGCGTGTTGCATAAAGTCGTTGACGGAATACAATATTGTCGATTTTCACAGGGAAAATCAAAACCCTTCATCCTTTTTTGACAACCAGTTGCTGTATTTCGTTCATCTATACCACCGTAGCAATCATAAACACCATCTCCGATTAATGCCAGATTGATGCATGGCCGATTTCGTTTAATATCAAGAGGATTTGTTACATTGGCGAGCAGGCATGGATACTCGTTCGAAATATTGCAAAAATTAGAATAAGGCTGTTTTGAATACAACTTCTTACAGTTTTTTTCAATTATGTTTGATAAGTTGTGGATATCTTGATTAATATCCAAAACGTTTTTATAGGAGAAAATAGCTTGTTCATCACTTGCATCACTACAATCCCACTCACCATCACAGACGTAGGCGAGAGGAATGCATTGATGCGTTTTACATCGAAACCATTGTTTTCGACATGTCCATTCTTGACAAAATTCTCTCTTTTCGTCTGTCGGTGGATATACATCCCAGTGGCTGTCACAGTAAAATCTATGAGGGATAGTTTCGATTGAGTGAACGATTGTGCTAACGTTTTTTTCCTTTTTTGATGATTCTTCTACGTATGTCTTAAGAAAACGACAACCGTCGTCATTTCGATGCTTGCATGAAATGCTATTGATCACTTTACCAGTTCCATAGACGTATTGATCAAATTTATTCGTGCAACGATCACCTGCACCGAGTACGCGCACAGGAAAGCAGGTTTTTTGAAGAGGAGAACATTGAAAACGATGTCTTTGTATCTTCGCACATGGAGATGTTGCAATCTCAACCTTTTCATCTTCTTCATATGGACAGTCCATATGTCCGTCATTGATACGATATGCAGAAATACATTGTTGAAAGTTAGGACATATATCAATATAATTATATGAATGATTTGAGAAAGCACGCGAATCATTCCAACAATTAGCAGGAAAATATTTGATGGAAACAGACGTATTTTTTTCAATAAGGGCATTTGAACAAAAGTAAAAGTCTTTATATGGTGAAAGTATATACTGTTGGACATGATTCGACAACATAGTAATATTCATATTAGTAGATGCTACGGCACGATAGCCTCGACATTGAATTGTACCAGAAAAAACGAAATATGCAGGTGTTTTGTCAGAATAGGATTCCTGTGCTATATAGTAAGTGAGAACATACGGACGAATTAATCCCATATTAGGGTATTGAATCCATTGTGGATTGGCACAATATGACATCATTAAGCTATAACATGATGTATTTCTACCACATGGGCAATCACGTTCAAATCCATCAGTCAAACCACATTTCAACAAGTAAACACACATCTCCGTCAAGCTTATATTAGCTGTTGTCCCATCAAAACGTGGATCATCGTAATTTCGGCTAAATTCACACATTCCATTCGGCAGAGTCCACGCAGCCACATATCGTGATGTCTCGCATATATAATTCAAATTACGAAAGTTAAAGCAATCGCTGCCTGTCGTGATTATTTGTTGATATGGCAATCGCATCCAAGATGTAATGTGTTCCCCATCACCACATGGCCATGTAGATCTAGTCTCCACGTATTCGTCACATTCAAAAGCTGCTGGCCTCATAAAACAAAGTAGAGTATTGTGGTACAGTTCATCACTATGATCCATGCAATCTAGATCGCCTACAAATTAAAAGCTAGTTTTGTCAGATATCATAGTTGTCTAAAAATGTGTACATTTTTCTTTGAAAAGAAGCGAACTCGATACAAACAGACTGAATCTGAAGTTTTGAGACAAATACGTAAATATTACAACTAATCATAAAAAACTCTATTATAAATAGATGAATTGTTTTCTTTCTGTGCCATTATGGAAACTACTCACCATCCAGGAAATACGGTTCAGGTATACACATGCCATTGATGCATCTGTACTCGTTTTCTTCACATTCGTTAAATTCTAATTTATCACAATTTTGTTCATCGACTCCATCCATACATTGTTGCTCTCCATCGCATATATTTCTCCAGTCGAGACAAAGCAGTCCAAAATCACATGACAATGTTTCATAACATACAATGGCAGCCCAGCGATGATTCGCTATCTTATTGAATTTCAAAACGAATTGAAGCTCGATAGCATTTTCAATAGTGAAAGCATTAAAAAGTAAGTACTCGCAATGTTTTCCAACTGACATATTATTTATGCATTTGCAAAGAAATGCGTCCGTTGAAAATACTACCGATCTATTATAGAATACGTGAGCATAATTATCCGCTGCTTCTATACTTGAGCTCCAGCTTAGAACATCTCGAGGTGAAATATTATTTGCTAGCAAATCTTTAAAAAGCCATTTTTCACCTTCATTAACACATTCGATAGCTGACGATGTATTTCTAGGTCGAACACAGTATTTTATCGTGTCATTATAACGGGAATTGTAATAAGCACAATTACTGTACTCCCACAGACCATTTGTTTCGGTATTATATAGCAATACGTATGCATGGCTTCTTTCAATAAAAGCTAATATTATCAGAATAGTTACGAATATCGTCATTTCGCTGTTGTACGATCTATAAGACGAACAAATTAAATAGCAATTAATCATTGTTCTATATTTAAAGGCGAAGCATAGTTAGGACCACAAAATTCAGGCCAATCGATCTCTATAGTACGTTAAATTGATTAGTAATGTGTGGCTAATCTATTGTAAAATTCAAATATAAATGATTGTGGCAACATACTAGAGGGTGTGGGTGTACGTGAGAATGTGAGTGAGTGTGGGTGAAAATGTGAGTAAGAGTGAAAAGGATAGAATCCGCAATCACCACATCCACACCCGAATTTTGATCTGAAATTTTGCCTATAGATAGGCCTAATGACTCTTAGAATATCCTGAAAATTTCAGCCAAAAAGAATTGTTCTTTGTCTAGATATTGATTTATGAAATAAACTTGTCTTTGTGACATATTTGTGGCAAGCGACTATCTTTTGAAAATTCTTTTCGGTTGAAACTTTCAGGATGTTCTAAGAGCCATTAGCCCTATCTACAGGCAAAATTTCAGCTCAAAATTCGATAGTATGATTTATCCAGCCTTAAAGGACTTTACTTATGCGCAAAATCTCAGCCTCAAAGCTATGAATCACCTCGGACGGCTTCCTCGTAAGTTTTCATGAAAACAACAATTTCTTCGCCAATCAAAGAATAATTTATTATAGAAATAGATTACACAATACTTACCAAGAAATGATCGATTTTATATATACTATTAGTCGATATCGTTGATTGAAATAGATTAGTTGCTTCTTCTCCACGTCAAAGGAATAAGAATAATTGCAGATTTTTTTGCGCAGTTTTTTTCCTTGTCACTTGCGTTAATTTATCAGAAAAGAATGATTCTCTCCTATAAAATGCACCGTACTTAAGTTTTGAGTTAAACGACAAGTAGAGAAGGAAGGTGTTATCTTTTCTGTTTTTTTTTCTATTTTTCTGCGCACACTGGTACAGGCGAGCATATGTCTTCTTTGGAAGCAATGTGTGTCTTGATGTTGAAACGGAACCAACTGAACGTTGCACATTACGCAGAATAAAAACGTTAACACTCTCATAAATGATTGAACAAAAAATTAAGTGTTTTATGACGCATACTAACGATTATTTTATATATTCTCTCACATGATGTAATTACATGAAATGATTGCAACATTCCAGTCAAACGTATAAGTTTAAAACACACATATGTTTGTGAAAGTTTTTAGAATATCGTATACACTTGCTAAATGCATGAGATGCCTAATTCGAATTCGAATATAAATGGACATACAGCTGCACACTACCAATTCAAAAATAAATGACAAAATTTAGGAATATATTTAGTTTTAGTTTTACTCTAAGATGTATATGATTCATATGTACGACCAAGAGGTGGGTGAGGGGAACTTGTCTGAAAATTATTGTAGAACTAAATCTATTCCTAGAAATAAGTACTAGTTTTTCTTTTTTAAAATCCGTTTATATTAAAACTCGAATTAGTCATCTACTCAATTAACAGCAGCTTGTTTATTTATTTTCAATGTTAGAGTTTATTTATCGTGCATATTTTGAAGTATTGTTATCGATCAATGAAAGAAATACTTTAAGCCAATGGAACTTTTCTATATTGTTTTATCGATTCTAAATGAATCTTTTGAAGTCTCAATAATGACAACATATTTGGCTCTATGCTTTCGAAAACGTTTATAACTAGGAGTATTTTATTGATTAATGAATTACTGTTCAATGTATAGTGATGTGTTTATTATCAATATCCAAAGTCGCAAAGTCTTGTTAAAATTCACTTTGAGAAAGACGTTACATAAATCAATAGATAGAAGACGTCAGATTGAGTCCAACGTAATGTGTTTTACCAATGGCACAACATGGGGTGCAAATTGATTCAAGAAATATCTCCAAACATCCATTTTTTTAATAGATTTTTGAGATTTGAAAATCTCATTTTTTATTTGCTTTCAATGGAACATATGTATTTCGAAATATGATGTGAAGTTGCGTCCGATCTTATTCAGTTTCCATAATGGTACATGTATTAAAACGAATAGTTTTGGGTAATATAGAAGTCCCTTATGTATTCCTATCCTGTAATAGGAAGTTTTTATTTATATTCAGTCGGAAAATCTGTATGTACCATTGCATAGAACTCTTCAAGCTGTATCTGGTACATCCAGTAAAGCGAATAGACTTCAGAAAAACGCGAATCCGTCACTAACTTCATTTACATACATTTAGAACAGTTTAATTTGTTGTTTATAATATTTATTTTTCAACAAATTATGCTTCTATAAAACGAAAACAATAATAAAAGCAACAAGTCACATGTTTTTGTTCTACAAGACATAAGCAAAGTAAAGAACGATGAGAAATGATTAGCATGGATAAATGTAGCAACAAAAGCTCTTGGATCTCAAGGAGTCCATCATAACGAAATATGTAATTAATCAAAAAAAAAGAAGAAGAATATAAGTACTATATTTATTGTCAGCCCTCAGCTACTCCCATAACCACATATCAATAATGACGGGCATCCATACCCACACACCTTCAGTACCGTGCAAATCGTTGCACTCTGTTATTACTGGAATCTGCCACATATAAATTGAACTGACTATCCAGTAATACTCCATAGGGTGCATTTAATTGAGTAGCACTTGTGCCAGACGAACCAGTAACGCCGGCAATCGTAGTAGCACTAGATTGGCCAGACAAAAAAAATTGAATGCGATGATTGCCTGAATCAGCTACATATATATTTCCATATTGATCAACTGCTACACCAACTGGACTATTTAAAAGTGTCGACGAAGATCCGCTTACTCCAACACTACCAGCAAGAAGTGTCCAACTAGTAGCACCTATCACCCAACGAACTATACTATTAGCAGCATAATTGGCGATTATTAAACTATTCGTCGATGAATCTAGAGCAAATCCAAATGGAGACGATAACTGAGTGCTGCCAGTTCCTTGTCCATTTCCGCCAGCAACTACAGTACCTGATGAACTACCGTTGAGATATTGCATGATACGTTGATTTACTACATCACTGATGTACAGGGTGCCCGTGCCCGAAACACGTTCCATCATATTAGGACCATTAAACTGATTGTTTGCACTTCCAGACGAACCTGAAGACAATTCCAATTCAATGAAATTTTATGAAAAAAATTCTCGAACTATTACATTTGGTTTCTATTTTATTTTGATAATGACATCTAGTTAGGAGATGGGACTACGGTATTTGAAGTGTTTATTTATTTTTGTTTATATTGCTAAAAAAGACTATTGACTTGTGAAGCATTATTTTTACTACTCTACAAACTTGGAGACAACATTATTCCAACGTTGTATCACTACGATTTCAAACAGCAACATTGCCGAATTATATACCTAATAAAAGCTCGTAAAAAATGGAATTTCATTTGATATAGAATTCATCAGTCTTGCTATTTGAAATTATAGGAATAACGTCCGTCAAAGAATATTCTCTCTAACCCTATATTAAATTACTATTCGTCTACTCATCGATATATATATATATATATAACAGGTGAATCTGTTGTCTCTTCTAGCCTAAGTACAAAACCTTAAATACAAACAAATTTCTTCTCCAACATATTCATTTTACAGGACAATTCGCAAGAAAGCCAAAGCATTTGAAAAGCTTTTTGAACTGTTTTTATAATAATAATAAGAAGAAGAATAAACTTTTCTCATTTCTCTTACCTGTTCCAGCGATCATCGAACCAGATGATGCACCATTAGCCCAGTACATAACTCGCTGATTGTTTCTATCAGTGATGTACATGTTGTTACTTGAATCGATTACAAGACCGACTGGTGCACTAAGAGTAGTAGAGGT